TGTAGTTTGGCAAACTAAAATATCGAGAGACACTATGGGAAAGACTCTGCTGGTTACGATAGCATTTTGGGCCAATCAGTTCCTGAAGATATTTATCATAAGTTCCCGTTATCTTTGCACCCACGAAACCGGCGAATAACAGCCCGCATCAATGGACACAATTATGACGTAACAATACCAAGTGACTACAAGCACAGCACCTATGCAAGCAAAACTTCAAATGCATCGTTTAACAAAATACAAGAGCAATATCATTGATAGCGGTATGAAAAGACTTTAGTTGTGCAGCGCACCATTTACCACTAACATTTCTGTATAAATTTCAAATATTCGTCTGCCCCATAAGACCGTAGAAAATTTGAAAATGATACATATTTAAAAGCTTCCTAGCAACTCAAATAGTCTTTAAGACTGAAAACATAGAATATTTTAGCAGCGGAGAAAGTCAATTTTTCTCTAAGCAACATATTTTCAAATTTCCTTTTTTGTTTATTAATAAAAATCAAACATTTTTATTGGCATTGTGATATTCTGAGATCAACCGTCCGAAAAGCAGGATATATTAGTTGTCAGTACTTTTTAATAGAAATTGGTTCAATATTTCGAACCAAAATGGCAATTTCAAAATAGCAAACCCGTTTTCACGAGTCATCCATTAAAACACACTCAAACGGAGCATAATTTTTTTAATGATGTGAGGAAAAGACCTATATTCAAGCGGCTGTCATTGAGCAATTGGAAATAACCTAAAAAAGGTTTCAGCCTATTTGATCATATATTCATGACGAAATAATAGGCAGACTACCGTTATGTAAACACAAACTATTTATTGAATCCTAGCGTTCAGAATTCGGTCCACGGAAAATCTGTAATGGAGACGTAATTTTCAAATATAAATGAAATAAAACGACAGTTCCCAGACAGCTCAGCAAAGATGTATCAATCTGCTATAAGACACTACTTCTACAACTACTGAAAATTCAAAAGAGATTGGTAAAGTAGATGAGAACGGCTATAATTGCCCTAATAAGTTTAAAGATGCTACAAAGTAATAGGGCAATTAATACATTAGTAAGAATATATACGAGTAAAATCGAGTACACACGCCTCACAAGAAATGTGGTTCGGAACCGTGGTTACTGTCAATTCTCTTGTGCAGAAACAGCTGTTACTGTTGAACTTGTGATATATTCAATTTTGCTCATGTTCTATTGTGCATTAGATTCATATAAAAAAGTATTTTCCACATATAATGTCCCAGTACTCTTTTCGTCCACTTCCCTTCAGTCACTTTGAGCTATGTCTTTCTGTCTGTGTCTGCGAAAGCCTTACAATATACTGACAGTACAAATATTCAGAGCATAAAATATTTTTGAAGTAATACATCATTGTATTTTTCATTTATTGTTTTTAATTATGTTTCCGTAAATTTGATCGCGGTTTTCAACTTGCATTCCCTTACTAGTATCCCGTACTATTATTACACCACTTCCAGAATTTCCTAACCTATATACATTCGGAAAATAGATGGTACATGAATCTATGACATTGATATTACATAGTTGGCAATACCCATCAACGCCAACCACCCAATGTCAAATTTGTGTGCTATCAATAGACAATGAATTCCACTTAGCATGACTAAATACCTGCAGAAATATTGTCACAACTTTTTGAAAGATGTCTCTAACACATAAAATAATATTTGATCCATTTGCTTACGTGGTCCGGGTGAGCTGACAATGGAATAATTTCACTCGCGGACATTTGCACCCATGGACGTTCGCCGCAATGTACATTTGCACTCACAAAAATTTTAACCCATGGACATCTGCATAAACGGACATTGGTACCCTAGAAATTTGCAACCACGGACATTTGCGTCCACGGAAATTGGCACCCATGACATTTCCACGTATATGCATTCGGATCATGAAGATCTTTACCCGTGGATATTTGCACCATACCTACAATCGCTCGCGAATAACTGCGTTTTAGAAAACTTTAATTACTAAGTATGATTATATGTTGCAAATGATGACAAGTTACACATCATAAGTAGCCTGTATTCTTAGCTAGGGTCGCTACATTCCACAGTTATTGTGAATTATAATCCTATCCCATTTTTGGTAGGGTAATTTCTTTCATAGAGATAACGCAAACGTAGTCGAATTTATGGTGGCGTTTGGTTAAAAGACGATGGCAATGAAAACTGGTCATAGATATCATATGATTCATCACGCCAGCGTATGGAAAAATAGATTAGGCAGGGCTACTCAACTGGCGGACTGCGCCCCGAATCCGAACCTTTCGAGTATTAAATATGGACCGTAAGTGCTTCTTGACTTTGGAAGCATACTTTTTTAATATTTTACAGTTGTTATGTAATGCATTTTTTGTTGAACCACTGAAAAATAATTGTGACATCATAGGAATATACTTATGTCTCTCCGAGCATTGACCAACTTGTTTACTCACTTCCCTAGCATTTAGCAAGATGTCAATGGTGGCGTAAAAACTGAAGTTTAGCGGCCACTCGGAAATATTTATTCACAATTTTTTTAGACATGGTGGTGAACATTAGCGCGTTTTCGTGGCGTTGCGTGCTATTTGTCAATTTTCAGTTGTATTTTCGAAGTTTAAATATAGATCAAATCCTAAATAAATACTATTACAAATAACTCAATTTTGCAAATTCTCTTACAGTTGTACAGTAGGATCTCGCTAACTAGAATCAATATTAAAATACTTGGCAAAAACTAAGAAACTATACCAAAGAAATATGACTCTTTCCCCTAACGACGGACAAATAACTTTGTTATTCATTTTACTGAAATTATTGCGAACATTGCGGTTCATCTTAATGAGCCTAAAGTTTACAACCATGCATCAAACTGCTTGCTATAATTCAGTTGTTTAATTTGTGGCGAAATGATGATTTTCGAGTTATCAACCAGTTGTGACATGGGGATTTCCCCCCGGTCAATGGAATCTAAGATTCCAAGAATCTATGACAGTCACCGTTAAACCTGACGATATAAGCTACTATTTTTGTACAAAAATTTCATCAGAATCTAAATAAACTAAACTATATCCATGCACAAAAACAGTACTACTTTTTAGTTAATCTAGGGAGACTTCTCAAATTTTCATGCATCAATTTGGTTTACCAACCAATTTTGTTCTTTAACGTTTTAGGGGAATCTTACGTTACCTACTGGATCAAACTTTTACGATTTGTAACATGGTTCTGGCTTGAAACAAAAAGTCATTCTGTTGGATCATGTCAACCAATGTATACGGGCGATGGAAATATTGGCCGCAGAGATGCAGTCACAAATGTAAACTAGGAAACAAACCTATAGGGTTAAACCGTTTTTGATTCATTCAGCTAGTAATAATAGACATATGCCACGCCATTAAGGTATTACTACTATGAATAGGATGAATTAGGAAAATGGCCTTTGATATCTGCAGCAAATTTTTTTTAACCATAACTTGGATTGGAATATCAAATAAAAGACCCTTTCTCATTACTAAAACGTAGTTATTAGGTTGTTGATAGGCTAACGCTCGTTAAAATCAATCAGCAACCCCGTCCTTTAAAAGGAACGCAGCTGCCACGTGCACGTTTAACCCCGTGAGGCCAAAGTCCCAGGACGCTCACCATCGTCAAGTGCGGGTTGGCGCACATGCATGGCGCGTCTCGCCAAAAACAACCTCGGATATTCAAAATGCTGCGCTGGCATGTGGGTGGTAAATAGAGTCGCTCGGGATTGATATAACCTTTAAATAACTTTGTAGCCACGAAGCCATGCTAAACAATGCTTTAAGTATCATGGCAGACCGGTGTTTAAAAAAATCGGACGACAATTGCGGCATTACCCACGCTTGGTATACAATAAGCTCGTTCATCATTTTTTTGACATTTTGCATCAAATTGGATTACTTTTGTACTTGTCGCGCCTTAAGGAAATTTAAAAATAGACGCAGGAGTTAGATTATGAATTTTGGGCACACAAAGGCCCTATTGTAGAATTGCATCTCAGAAATACTCAAGACGTAATTTAGGTTAGGTGACTATAGTATAAACTCACTGTGAATTATCGTGTATAATGTCAGGAGTCTCAGGACCTTATCGCCTATTATATAAACTGAAAAGTTTGCAAAGCTATAGTGCATTCTTTTGGACGGAGAAAAAATAGAAAATAAACTGTGTTTAGTTATGCTTCATTTTACGACAAATAATGTGTCAAAACAACTTCGGCGTTCCGGATCATTTTTTTAATTTTTTTGCAGAAAGTTACATTAGGCAGGGCTAAAGCTGGTAGCATTAGTTTGCATCTCCCGGTTCGAGTTACATGCAATCGCTAGTATGGCATTGATGCAAGGACTCGCATAGCTAGTCCTAGACATGACAGGGTCGAAGTCAAGAAGAGTATTATTATGGAGTTTTAATAAGTCAATCCACTAAAATAGCTTATGTTCCTAATACTCGTTTGGCGGTGGTTCACAATCACAATTCCATTGTATTGCGAATAGCTGCATTAATAGTCATTGGCCAAATTGTTATTTTATACGCATACTAGCCTAATTTATGTACCTTACTGGAGTAATCGTTAAAGTTCAGAATACATCATATCGACTTTTCTAAGCAGTTGAGTGAATGTTTTAATTCGTTCTGATCGGTTTGACAGAAATTTTCAGAAGAAATACTTCAATTTTGGTGTTACAAGTTACATCAATTTTTCGAACTCATGAATCATGTATTCCATAGTATAGTTACCCGGTATATTACAAAAGACTAGCTCAGTAGGGTACTCAGAACGAAATGCGAAAAAAACGGATAACGGTTTCATTTTCATATTTGATATTGGTGAAGTAATTCCATGGCGCTTTCTGGAACTTTGTTCAGATGCTGTGTTTACATAATTTTCGAATTTTCGCCTTTCACTTTTCGCCAAGCAAATAAATACTTTTTATAATGTTAGATTATTTGTATATTATAGATCTGTTACGGATATCTGTTTCGTGATTATAATGGACGTGATTGCAATAACAATTTTCTTTGGTCTTCTTTTGGTTGGCTCATCACGAGGAAGTAGCCGAAGTATTGAATGTGCAGAGTTTGATGGGGATATTATTCCGATATTTAGTAAGGACCAAGAAGAGAAATCTTTACTGAATGGAGAATCTGATTACGAGGCGCCTGTAATTATGGATGGTTAGTAAACTGCTAATAGCACTCAGATGATAATAAGATGGAAAATTACTATGATAAATTTTTATGTGAATATATAAATGCATTTTGAGCTTAATTATAGGAATCAATAAAACTCGAAATAACTCAAAAATTTCGTACCGTATTTATTAGACCGTGCAAAATTCATAAAACTATTCTGACTTTTGTAAATTCGGGTTGACGGCAGCCGATGTCTCGTTGATTGTTTCCTGATGGAATTTGCGGATTACCCTTGTGACCTGCATTAGAGTAAATCGCAATTTAATTAAATATTTCCACAAGTTTAATAACGGTGCTTAGGTGACCTTATCGCTGCCTCGTAAAGGTCAACGCACACAAACGATGATTGCGGAATCAACAATGACGCATATTGGATCAGCAGTAATGTTATTTCACGTACAAGAAAGTTGCCTAGCACATAATTAAATAAACAAGAGCGAAAATTATATGAGTTAATCCGCATGTTTTTATTGAGGCATGTGAAATTGGGTCACATAGCCACAAGTTTCGTCCTCTATTTCCAACAACTAACATATAAAGTTAAGTGAAAAAAATAAGATTGGTAGAAAACAATGGAGAGACTGACAAAACCAATATTACTGATCGACAATGTTTTCATATAAAAATATTTACGTGGCAAAGAAATCAGGATCTGTGTCGCACAACTCTTGATTCGGAGCGTAATTTGTAATTATTTCAAATATATAAAATTTTATTCTGTTCTTCTATTGAATGTAAAACAAAATATATGTTTTATATTGAGATTGTGGTGCTCCTGAAGTATGCGCACCAAGATGTCGCATAACCTGAACCCTAACCTAGTACACAACCAGAGTTCAGGTTGCGCGCCATCTTGGTGCGCATACTTCAGGTGGTCCGAGATTGTTTAGCAGGGGTCTCAAACTCAATTTACCTGGGGGCCGCCGAGACATAGCCTTAGTGAGTCCGGGCCGCATCAGGTTTTTCACAATAAAAGCATCAAACATAAAAAGTTAAATCTTTTTCTCTATTTTTCTATACGCAAAACATGTCAAAAACCTAAATGTAAGTAATTCCGCGATGGACCTTTCCCCGGGCATCTACTTCCTTGGTTATTCCGTAACATTGGCTAATCAGCAAGACGCAGAAAGTGACGTAACAATAGACTTTTTCGCAAACGCTCAGACACTTGTCCCTCAGAAAGATTTTCAGGCATGTTTGTAAACATTACCTCGTATTTGCATGCTATTTGTTAGTTTTGGCTTGTGTTCCAGAAATTCAAGTATGAATCAAAGAACTCAATGATCATTCTGATTGCTTGGACGTCGTAGCTTAATTGCAGTAATTAAAAATTAGTCTAGAAAGAGCTGTGATAGACTAGGCTAAACTTTTCTACAGGTACTGTTGAAAAACAGGTTGTTGAATCAAAATGATGACGTGAAACATATACCCCAGTTTATAGGCTTCAACTTGCAAAGCCACCTCTAAAATAAGCACCAAGAATTTGCAATGATAAAGTATAAGAAAATTTTCTTCGGGGTCAAAGGTCCATCGAATATCATACTCACAGGTACGGTACTAGTAGGTTACCTACCGTACCGCATATGTCTTTTGGGGATAGATTATAAAAATTTTGGTTTTGCTCTACTTGTCCTGATCATATATCAACTGCATCAATCATTCCAACTGAGCTGAGTGACAATTGGCCCGCGAGCCGCGAGTTTGAGAACCCTGGTTTGGATAGAACTTTTGGTACTCATGATTTTATTCCAATTTTAGTTTTATTACGAGTGCGGGGACTAGCCAAGTGACTCCCGTAGTATTTGTACCTAAACCCTAACCTGGTACACATACTACGTTCTGGTGTCCGCCATCTTGGTACGCATACTCCCGGAGCGCCGAACTTTTGCCATAAAAATCCAGTGAACAGCTTCATCCATGAACCACAAATACTGCTAATATGTAATTGATGATTGATAGGAATACTTTATTGATAAGAGCATGTTTGTAAACGAACAAAAAAGCTATGTATGAATCTTCCATATACGATACCATACCATACTTACTTTCTCTATTTTCAAGCAATAAACGACATTGCTGCAAAAGTGGATCTGGTGAATTCAAGAGTAGACCGACTCCTTGACCAATGCAGGGCTCCGATTAGAGAGGAGGAAGATCCCAGTTTACATGTCGCTTCATCAGGTCTGAGAAAATGTTTTTAATGCTAACATAGAAAGTGAATATAAAATGTGATATGTATACTGCTGAAGTTCTCTTAATTAGCCATGAAAAAATGTTTTTTTCGGAATGATTTATTTGTTGGTTGCAATATAACTATGTATAATTTGAACGAGTATATTACTATAGTTTAATTGTTTGTGGCCAATACGATTGCATTTTTAATAACAGTTATATCACCAACTTCAATCTCTTTTCTCATACACCAAAACAATATGTCTATCAAAATGATTTAATTTGATTACTTTTATTCATTCAGGCGATTGCGAAATCGAAGATTTTGGCCTTTGCTTTTGGCTTGAAGCATTAATTCCCGAAACGTTACAATGCTGAATGCATGGGAGTTATGTGGTAAGAGACCTGGTGGGCGCCCGGCAAGCATTTACAGTGCGGGACACTACATAAAAATACTGCAACTTATGAGGTCCAAGATCTTGCGACCGAAGTTTTACATTTATATCTGGCTTGGCATGAAGATCAATCAATGGGTGAGAACTCCTAATTAGTTTATCAACATTAATAGTAGTTCGTCACCGAATTTTTTTTAGACATTGCACGTAAATTATAATTTTCATTTAGAGCAAAGTTGTGACTACATTGGAAGGAACAAATGCTCCTTTTGTAAGATGGTACGCACCTATGTATCCCATCAGGAATTCAAGATATACACAGATTTATCTCTACGCTGATATTACAAGAAAAAATGGATTCATGAACTTTGACCCCGTGAAAGCTACCAACGGAATTATGTGCGAGACCATGATTTAGTTTGCTTTCTCATTATTGCCACGCCAATGTTTGATATAAAGCAGACTTTTGTTTGATTGTAGTGACAAAAGGGGGCTCTCGAAGTATGCGAACCAAGATGGCGGACATCGGAATGTAATATGTGTACTAGGTTAGGGTTAGGCCATAATTTTAGGTATAAATACTACGGGAAGCTCTTGGCTAGTCTTCGAACTGATAATAGGACTAAAATAAGAAAAATTGGAAAGAAATTATCGCCTAACCCTAACCTGTTACCCATGTTACGTTCCGATGTCCGCCATCTTGGTTCGCATACTTCGGGAGCACCGACAAAAGTATATTTCGCAACTTTAATTTTTTTTTTTTTTCGACCTTTTGGGTACAAACACTATACCTAACGTTTTGCGGTCACAGATAATTCATCACATAACTTGACTAACACAAAGAACTTTTTATTCACCTCTTGCTGTTTTACAAACCGCAGATTAGGTTGGGTAGATTTATGCTGAACCTCAAAAGTTCAGTCATTCACGCTACAGCAGATATTAGTTTATACCTGAACAAGTGGAAAATTTACTTTTACTCCACTTTTAAAGATGTTTTACGGCAATAAACTATGTCTGCTGAGCAAAGGTATCGTTTTTCAATTATAAAATCATCCAGCAGGCAGTTTTGGGGCATTTGGAATAGAGCGATCTCGATTAATTGATTTTTAATAATAGTTATTCTAAGTGTAAAGCAAATCTTTGGATATCATAAATGTGAATCATCAAAATTCGTTGAAAATACTTGGAAATATTTATTGCATATATATATATGTTTATTTTGATGAGGCTATAATATACAGGAAATTTTCTTCAATGCATTTGTTTATCTATATTCTATTGGCTCTTTGTATAAGACAAAAAATACTCAGCATAGTCATATGCACAGAAGTTTGACTCCGAGAAAAGTATCAATATAAAATTCAACATAACTGAATGATCTAAAAAATTTGCCAGAACATTTTACTCATTTAATTGATTTCTCAAACAAAAGTAAATGACCCAGGCCTTGGTATTGCCATGAGGCGGGTACTGTCATGTACTCGTGGACCAAAACAATACTTTGCTTTACAATGAAAACTAACACCTGTCGATTTCATTAAGTTCGCAAAATATCAATGTAGCGTTACAATAGAGTTAAAGAGATTGTTGGGACGCTTTAGTTTAAACGGTATTCGGTATTTTGTCATTGAACGTATCATTGTCACAGATACAATTCAAAACAGCAAGTTTCTGATTTGTTCAGTATTTAGTTGTAAAAATTCAGTTGCTTCGGTTTGACTTGGTATATCACATTTTTCACTGCAGTTATTTCAAACAGAACTTGGTGCTGTGTTTTCACTTTGAGACAATTATATATATATTAAATAGGGTTATAACAATAACGATTTTTCAAGAATCACGGCCTGAAATTACGTCGGTTGGAATTGGGACACTGGAAGCTTTTAGAGCATTAGTGTTATTTTTGATATATATTATACTATGCGCTTGCTTTGCACTAACTTAGTTGTAACTTTCAAATCTATTAGAATTAAAACCTGTGCTCTAACTAGTAAATAAAGTATACGTTCCCCCTCCATCATGGGCATTCTATACCAGGGATGCACAACTCAAATGAGGACGCGTGCTAAGGTTTTCAAAATACTCTTGTGGCAAATAACAAAACACAAGATAGCAAATAACTATCTACTGAAACAATTTAATTACCTGGAGAATTCTACTTTGAAGACTTTTTTAATGAAACAAATTCGAAATGTTGGGCTTCAAAGGGAAAATAGTAATACTACTATATCTTAAGAAAGCTGATGGTAACCTACCGGAAACAAAAGAATGCAAAAGAGGTTAACAAGATGACGTCAAAACGGAAATTAACATGACTTGTTGGTTTCTGATAGAACCAGTAGCAAACCATGTGTGAATGATCTCACCGATATAAACTACTACGACATAAACGCGCTTCTCTTCGATTTAAGTCTAATCAAAAATCGGTTCCATTATCTTTGCACCACAGACATTTGAACCCATACGCACCAAGTACATTTGCACCCGCGTACATTTGCTCCCGCGTACAATTGCATCCGCTTACATTTGCATCCATGAACATTTGCACCTATGAAATTTTGCACCCTTAAACATTTACACCCATGGATACCCTTCTTTGTGTAAAAGAGGTTCTATTGCCATTTGCGCCCGAATAGGGACATCCTAATGTTATGAATAGTAATGAAGACGATCTTGTTCCATATAAATCCGGCTTGCGCCAAGTCGGGGTCGTTTCTCGTTTTTTTCTTCTTCTTATATATTCTTCTTTCTCTAAGCACCCCTCTCTTGTCTTGTACAATTGGTTTAACACTGACCAATTTATGTACGACCAGTTTTTTTCTCCATCGTCTACTAACCACCGTACATTCGACTACGTTTGCGTTATTTCATCGAAAAAAAAAATGGCCGACAAAAGTGCGATAGGATTATAACTCGTAATTACACTAAAAATGTAACGACCCTCACCAAGTATACAGGCTACTTAAAATTTGTAATCCGTCTTCATTTCGAATATATATTTATAATTGGTAATTGAAGATTGTCTAAAACACGGTTATTCGCGAACATGACTATGGGTTCGGTGCGTTCATGCGACGAATGCATATGCGTAAAAATGTCATGGGTACAAATGTCCGCGGATGCAGTTGTGCGTGGTACAAATGTACGTGGGCGTAAATGTCTGTGGGTGCAAATGTCCATGGGTGCAAATAAACCCGAGTGCAAATGTATGTGGTGTAAATGTACGTGGGTGCAAATAACCCGAGTGCAAATGTCTGTGGGTGCAAATGTCCATGGGTGCAAATAAACCCGAGTGCAAATGTCTGTGGGTGCAAATGTCCATGGGCCCAAATGTCAAATGTCGGTGCAAATAAACCCGAGTGCAAATTGTGGGTGCAAATGTCCATGGGTGCAAATAAACCCGAGTGCAAGTGTCTGTGGGTGCAAATGTCCGTGGGTGCAAATAAACCCGAGTGCAAATGTATGTGGTGTAAATGTACGTGGGTGCAAATAACCCGGGTGCAAATATACGCGGGTGCAAATGTACAGGGGTGCAAATGTACGTGGGCTCAAATGTTCGTGGGTGCAGATATCCGTGAGTGAAAACGTCCATGAGTGCAAATGTTCGTGGGTGCAAATGTACATGGGTGCAAATATCCGCGAGTGCAGTTTATATGCTGGTGCCTAAATCTATGGGAGCAAATGTCGGTGGATGCAAAAGTATGCAGGTGCAAATGGGTACAGTTTAAGGGGGGGGGGGGGCAATTGTGTTGTCACTAGAGAAATGACGTTTTACCTACACAACCGCTGGCTACTGTAGGCTAGCCACTTATTTATTTTCAGCAACTACCTTCTGATAACCGCGGCCAAGAGCTAGCAATGTTTGAATAAACATGGTGCATCAAGTTTATTTTGGATATAAACGTGAATAATTGGGATTTGTAATAAATACAAGAATTACTTTTAACCAAATCGTTCGCGTGTCACGTTAGGCACGCGTGCCATGTGTTGTGCACCCCTGCTCTATACCCACGTTGTTCCTCACCATATTCTGTATAAAAGGCGTAACGTTAATCGCAAACAAAACTGACATACTGATATTAAAGTGAAGTAAAATGCTTAACATCGGATTTAGAACAAAGTGTTCTTTATTATATCTTAGGCCTGTGCCTAAGAAAGGTATGTTGAAAATGCGGGTACATTGTGATTTCCTTCGCTGCTGTAGAATCATACCACAACAGCTGAATATAGCAATGAATGGATGTTCCCCCGAGCATCGATTTCTTTGTTTATGCCCGTTACAATCTCCAATAAGTCAACAATGACGTAACAATTGGAATTGGTGCAGCAGCTCAGACAAGTCATCTTGATGCGCATACTCCAGGAGGTCCGATTTTTTTCCAGAAAGCTATTAGTTTTATTTTTTAATATTGGACACGGAGTGGACCTATGGATCGTTTTACTTTTTTTTTACACCTAGTGGAAAACTTGAAGTCGCTTTTATGCTGGCACTCTTCTTCTTGTTCTTTACGTGCTCATCGAACGACACCGGTACCGGCACCAGTACCAGTATCGTACTTACGTACTGAGCTACCAGTACCGGTTAGCAGTCAGCCAGCATCTTACCTGTACACTGTAGGCCATATACGGTAATTGATCACAGAACAGTTGTTCCCTTGCAAATTTTATGTTGTTTACACTTTAGGACAGATAATTGATCACAGAACAATTCTTCCCTTTCAAATTTTATGTTGTTTCCAGTAGACTCTCATCAAAATAAACAAATATAGTAGGCTACAAGTGCTACAACGCTTGCATTACTGCACTGGTAGGACCGCGAAAGAATAAGTTACGGTAATTTCATTGTGGTAAGACACCGGTACCGGCACCAGTACCAGTATCGTACTTACGTACTGAGCTACCAGTACCGGTACCGAACCTGTAGGTCTGATATTCCGTTCCGCATACGATAGGCTATAAAACTTGCATTGCAGCATTAGTAATACCGCGGAAGGAATAAGTCAATTTCACTGCGTTACGGTACCTGTATGGCAACTTACCAGTACCGACCTACAGTAGCTGTAGTACTGAGCAAGACAATCGATCGCGAAACCGCTTGAAATAAGTGTAAAACAGTGTTCCCATGAGTAAAAATAAATACCGCGAAATTTTGTATGAAATATCATATCTCATAGGATTCATATAAAATTTAAGAATAAACAAAAGTAATAGCCTTCTAGCGAAAAAATTAATCTTTAACCACTGAAAATTTCAAAGCAATTGGTCCAGTATTCGAAGAGAAAAGCGACTTTTTAAAAACGTGTCAAAGAACAAGAACAACAACAACAACATAATATTGAAACGATCGTTATGTCCACTACGTGTCCAATAAGCGAATTTTTCTCATCATTGCCTGCTATATAGTTCCATAAATGGAGCCCACACAAACATACGGCATGAAAATTACAAAATCAATTGGTGCCACTTTGGTATGCGATTTCACTTGCTCAACGTGATCTCAATCGCATACACTCATTCTCATAGAATTCAGTTCATAGTCCTAACCAAGATCCCACAACCTGGGATCGCATGCAAAGTCGATATTAATTGATGGCGACATGTTAGTAAAATGAGTTGAACACACTATATATTACAACCCACCATAAACATGAGGAGGAGTAATAGAAAATATAAATATGCAACCAAAACTATGGTTCAACTAAAAACTTGAAAATAATCTTCACAGCAAAGATTTTGTATATCAGTGTCGCAGGTATTATTTAACACACAATAAAAATATATGATCATAAAAACATTGTTGATCTGATCTGAGATCAATATTTTATGACGGCACTGAATGATCTAAGACGGATTCATTCTTTTTGCTTTTCTCTTTTGAAATGAACTCATGTAAGTACGAATACAAGGCAACATTTTTTGGATTTCTGTGGAAAGAATACACCGTAGATATCTGATCCCAAAGTGCCTTTTCTCTATTCTCAGACATGAATGTCAGAACGTTCTTCTCTGCTTCTTTTTGTGCCTGAAATAAATAAACAAATACCTTAAGATATGCAAATTATAAACATTACAAATTTTGATAGTAAATAGTTACTGATCTGCCATGTACAGTAATCACCCTTTACTCAACGAGCCACTGACCCACTAATTACTATGTGCTAGTTGTTCTGAATAAAATATCCATTTGTTCGGGATTCGGTTTGTTACATTGTTTCAAAATTTTGTGCAGCATTGATTTAAATTTAGCGACAAAATTTGGATCGGTTCCAGATTTGAGTTGGGAATTAACAAACAAAAAGTCTTCTCACGTTATTTATATATACTTCTAATTCATCAGAACAAGGAAAAATTTTTGGATTTGAATTATGAGTCGGATTCTTATAAAAGTAAGAGAGTTTGCAACTCGAACTAGTGGATAGTGTTTCATATCACTCGCGACCTCGAGTAATGTAATAAAGTACCTTTGCCTCCATCTCTTGGTCAAACTCTTTTTCTTCATATTGACGATAGTAATCGTAGTATTTTGCGTGATAATATGTGAGAGGATATTTACAACGAGATATTGCATAACCTATGAATCCTATGATTACGGTGATTCCAAGCACAGCCCATCCATATAATTGAGAAACGCTTCTATTATTGCGATAAGCATCTGAGTGGAACGGTATTTTCGATTGAGCTACCTAGATATATAGAAAGTGCTTAAAGGGAGGGACTGGAATTGAAAAAAAATTTGTGAATGGCAAATTAGAAATAGGATTTATGCTTTCAATTGAGAGTCGAAGTTTGAAATTTTAATCTGGGGCACCATTCTCTTAATCGTCAACTCGTCTTCTAAATGACCCAAAATATTAAATCTGTTCACGACTATATATAATTTTAATTTCTACGTAATCATAATTTTGAAAATGTTACACTCCGACCATTGACAATGCCTTGATCTTAAAAGTCAATTGGGAAATTGTTAAAGACTGTCTTCTAGTGATTTGGAGACTTGACCGGGCAAGTTCAACGTCATAATGTATTGATAACTGATTCATTTTAGTTAGGACGTATATCCGAGAATATTATCTCAGTAACGAAAATCTATCAATGTTTTTTACGTAGATCGGTCAAGTAATTATTAGAAATTTCCACTGACCAAAACATCCTGAATAATATTCTCTTAAAATAATAAAATTAAATATTACCTTTGTGCAAGACTCGTATGAGGCACCGGGCCCCACGTCATATGGAAGTGGCGTCACAGAGCACGCGTACGATTGGCCATCAATAAGAGCAAAACAAACCCAACTAACTGGGGCAATTAATGAACGTCCAAAGGTTTCTGCCAAAGTCCAAGTTATTTTCTCTTTGCGACTTCTTGCAGCCGGGCTTTTAGTACATATTCCTGTCCAAAGTTTCCAAAGCCTAGGAGTCGATGCCGCCATAAAGAAAAACAAAATTAAGCAAGGCACAATCATGTAGGCTAATCCATAGGCATAGTTTGTCATCGGTGTACATTGTCGCTTCGAAGCTATACTATTCGATGAAGTATTACATCCTGCTACTTCTGATGGTTCGACACATGGACAATAGTAAATAGTTCGGTTCAAAATTTCTTCTAGGGCTATTGTTACACCTGCAATTGCAGACTTCACAGCCACATCTTTGAATTCTCCAAAAGCTTTTGTAATAGCTTTGAGTCCTGCCGCAGCTGCCATTACCAGTTGGGTATCAGCTAAACACTAAACTTAACTTCGAATGGACTGAATCTGTAACACATCAGTCAGGAATTATTGATTAATTGGTTGCATTTCCTTTCGATGTATGTAACGTCCTTTGTAACAAGCAGCGTCCACATAAAATCTTGATTTTTTAAAACGCCAGTCTCAGTACAATACATACGCTCTAATGTTTCAAAACTAAATTTTATTCACTATGCCGCTTTCCTACGACATGTTCCTTCTCCAAGAGAAATGTTATAGAAACTGGTAGGCATAATTCAATTCAAATTCTCGGATTCAATTGCGTCATTGCTAAGTATACAAACAGTACATGAACTAAAGTCGTGACAAAAATCAAGTTTCCGGGTGATTTTGTTTATGTATGTGGTACTATGTTATTTGCATTAGACGACCTTCTAGAACTATGTGCTGTGAATTATATAAAAATCACAAAACTGAACCAAGTAGACTATATAGTTTACTTCCAACATAACGCATTTTTATATCTTATTTCCAGCATGCCAGCAAAAGTTCATTCTGGTAGCATATCATTATTTAAAAGTTTGTATGTCACGATAAAATATGTAAAAATGATTATTGACTTCATTATCGTGACTAAATAAAACCAAAGGTAACGCACATTAATTGCTTCGTGAAGTTACGTGCGCGGGATTTCCTTTAAGCGAGTTTCAAGATTGTTTTGTCAAAGTTGTGTCGTCATGATATGATATCCATTTCACATTTTCTGCTTTGTTTGCACTACAATATTGCAGTCATAAATAAACATATTGGTTATAGCTTGAATTCCAGAACAAGTTAAGAATATGTGACGCCATAATCGTTTCTAGTCACCTATGGGGTTGTTATAGTCCAATGAATACCCTCGCTTCTCCGTATCCACATGCCCTCTGTATTACTATCGAAGAAAAACACTTAGGCTTATAGGTTTAATAAAACCATTGTCATACTCGTAGATTAGCCGCCTGTTCTCACCCATACACTGTATAGATTTCTCGTTTTTCAAAGTAAAATTAATTCAAACATTTTTTTTAAGTCTCCTGCGTTATTATGCAATACTCATTTACCTCGCTTTTTCCTTGATAGTATTGACTTGAATAGTATTGAATTATTGAAGTCTCGTGTCAACTTTCTCTTTCCAGTTTTACTCGAGAAAAGGGGCATAAAACCATACTTAAAAATATTTAAATAGAATAATCTTTGTTACTACTTCAGATATTCCTGGTACTCACTCGAATATGTGTTAACATATTACCCAAATAGTGGGGTTCACACACGTAATAATAGACTTTTTCATTTTGTGATCACTTTATTAGTCTTACACATATGAATGCGTTGTAATGTGTCGATATCAGTGTTTTAAATTATCCTGACTGAGATTTCGAGCGCTTTTTTATTTTGAAATTTTTTACAATGAACTATCTATTCTGCTTCAAGCTGGTTTGGATGCACTGTGTGATGGGCAATACGAAATACCTATTGCGTTGTTTTTTCTATTATGGTCATCTAAAATAAATAAACAAGGAGCTTTTTTCCGAGTTTGTCATATAGTTTCATGTATAGCACCTTATCAGCACAAAAGAGCACATTACTCACGCAATGATAGTATATTAAAAAATCTGTAGTAATTCAGCTGAATATAATTTGTAGAAAGAATGATTGATTCCTTGATTTTGATTAATAAAACTTGGAATCAGCTCAAGTTTTCATTGGACATTTTCATGAAAAGCTTTGTTTCTTCCTCCCTGGTCTAATTAGTATTTACTATATTGTTGGAATTATTTCATTCAATAGTATCAAGGCATTAATTAACAATTTTCATCGCTTGCGCAAATGAAAATAAAATTTGAGTAAAAAGACTATATGTAGTAATGATTTGCTATCTATACCAAAAGCAACAAAAAAAGTTATTATATAATCATTCTGAGTAACATTATATTTTTTGGCAATATATAACAACAGTTTTTTATAAGTCAAATCTTCCTTTACTTTTTCCCCGTCGTATTCTTCTTAAACAAGATACCATTATTGTTACCCCTCCTGCAATAAACACTAACACAACAGTCATCCATGCCAACCGATCAGATATATTTGGTATTTTTTCACGAACCGACACCGTTTTTCTTGAGTAATCTTGATTTAATGAAAATGCTTCAGCTTTTGGCATGTTGATATCTAAAAAAAAATATTTTTTCATTGTGGTTATAATTTTTTTTTTCGAAAATATAGATACAGGAATTTGTTGATCTACAGCAGTGGTTTTCAACCTTTTACTGGCCGCCTACCACTTTTGAGTTTTTTACTCTGGCTGCGTACCACCGACAAAACCCCATTTGTGGTGGGGACAATGGCACAAGAAACGCGCTATGGTAGTATTTTATGTGGCATTACATCCATTTTTAGACATTCATGCATGTTTCGAAGTAATAATTATATGCAATAACAACGTATTAATTGCCAGCAAAATTGCGAGAAAGTTTGCGTGGTCAACCGTCAAAGCTGAAATGCTTTAATCATCGCAAAACGAATCGAATTAGTGCAAAACTCGGACGAATACACTTTGGTCGTCACTAGCCGCTATCACGAACTGCCTAACCTAGTCTCCCAATTTAATTAACCCCGAAAACTCAAGATTATGTCGATCATCCAACACATACATCAAGTAGCAATAGTAGCATCCTTATAATGTATCAATGGTATCTCGACACGCGTCGAACACTCCCACAGAACGCTCCCTTCGTTGCCGATTTCTTAATGAAGATGCATTGTGGGCGTAACACGTAAAACGGGTGAAAACATGCCACGTTCTCATTCTCGTTTCCTATTAAGTAGGTAGTAGTAACGGGCGGGGGCGATCTTTAAAGACAAGGACTGGTAACCCAACCCTATAACCCGCTAAGCGAATACATTTAGTATGTGAGATAAAAAGAAATTGTTGTTGCCATATTTTAGCCAACTCAAAAGTTAATTGTTAAAGTTACTGGTACGCGTACCACAGGTTGAGAACCACTGATCTACAGCACAAACACACGAAAAATACTTTTTTTTGTAATGATATGAAACACTGTCCAGTGAATAAGTATCAGCTTCGATATTAATAACCTATAACGATAGACACATTAGGTCTAGGATGAAAAAAACATTAGAATGAATAATCTGAACATATTTCAAATGGAGTAGATTAGTGGTTAATATCGGTCATATGTATATGGTTAATAATTATATAATTAATTAATTTCAACAACTGTCAACCGATGATTAGGCCACCCTGTATATAAACATAAATATATATCAAATTTCACGTTCAAACTTACATTTACAGGTCTGGCCATCTTTTCCAAGATACCAGTTGTTGTAGTTGGGACACAGGCAAAGACTTCTTCCATTATCATCCAAAGTACAAAAATGAGAACATCCACCTTTGTTCTATAAACATACAGTAAAAAGTCTACATATATCGAATTGATTAGATTCTGTCCATTCTTCAACGTTGGCTAAATATTTTACTGACGTACAGGACGAAAATTATTATTGAAGACTTTTGTACATTGTTGCTGATTGTATAATGTGCTGTATGGAAAACGTATACATCTTATGCTCGAAACCATGTAATATTTATCCACAAAGCAAAATTCTAACACGATGGAACAACGATCGCCAACAGATGTCATTCATAATTGAAAACTGTTGCTCATATTAGATTTTTAATTTCACTTCAGTATATATAATAATACCTTACTTATTTTGAAATTCGCCTCACGCGGAAAATGTGGCACCACGCAAGTTTCCGCGCAAAAGTTTTATGCTCAGGTGACAAGATCCTCTATATAAAATCATCTGCTGTTAAAAATGGTTCATTTGCGCTACTTTTCATTTTTCCGCATAGGTTTTCAAGTGAATATTATAGCGACTAATGAGTAAAACATGTAAAACATAATAAATCGCGTTGCACGCTGAAAAATTGAGTAGGCATTTTTTTTTTGTAATTTTATTTTATCGAATATTCTTACATTGGCGCACTTGCTTGAATTTGTTTGTATGGTGATTGGGCCGAGTGTAAAAACTTTTTTGATTTTTCTTTTATCTTTTAGGTATTCAGCAGCGCTTCGTTCTGAACATGACTAAAAAGAAGCGAAATATTTTATGTATATCAATGAAAGTAAATAGAAAGTAAAAATCAGGTAGGAAACATTGTGTTGATAATAATCGCTACATAATTCATTTAAACATATCGTTTTATACGACAGACGAATAGAAGAATCCGATGCCTAGGAGTAAGTTTTTCCAATAATTGTAAATTCATTAATACTTTGAAGCAAAGTTAAATTTAAGATCAGTATCAACTGCTGGTACATGAGGGAATTGCTCAGAATCGGATACGAATAAAAATCACAAAATTCAAAACGTATTACCTTTTGTAAACATGTTTGATCTAACACCCAATCACATAATGCAATCTCACAGTGAACGTACAGCAACGTAGATTGTTTACCAGAGCCAAACCACGAGAAAGATTGAAATGCAAATTCAACTGTGGGATATTTGAAGTTTTTGTACAACTGTGTGAAGCTACTTTTCTCAGTGCACCTGAAGATGATTCACATTCACTTTAGAATAGGGAAGAGAAGAAAATATGAGATGGAATAAGCAGTCGTCGTTAAGAGCTACAAATCAAAACGAACGATGGGTCAAAATTTCCTCACCCGTCTACTAATATATCATATCTGTCTGCATCGTCCATATTAGGTGAATTCGTTGCCCAGCAATATGATGCCTAAGGATACAAGAAATAAATAATAACTAATATGATCATCGCAATATCAGCAAACTTCAAAAGAATTGTGCCGATTGTCATGTGAAGATGTATACGTGAAATATAAAAATAACAAAAATTGGGTTAAAATACGAGCCGAGAAATCGATTAGTTGCGGAAAAAGGTAATTATTGTTTTACAAAACTATCAACAACAACAATTTAGCAAAACGGTTGAAAAGGTCCACTCGTGTCCAATAAATAATAATAAATGCATATATTTACATTTTTATATTTATTGTAAACAAATTCGCAGACAACATTTTTTGCATGATATATGTATTATATATATCGAAAAGGCGAGAAACATAAAAACAAATTAGAAAACTTTTTTTTTTATTTGCGTAATTCAGGCATTAAACATTTACTACATCTTATCGACAAGTAGGATCATATACTCATATTTAACGCTCAAATGCTTATCTGTGTGTAATTTTCATTTTTATAGAAAAAAAAATAATAGCGAATACATTGCATGTAAATTCTTACTTCCATAGCTAAATATTTTTCTCCAGTCTGGGTAGTGATTCCAACATAAATATTGTCTCCCACTTCAATATTCGGATATGTACCAGGATAAGCCGATACAGGATGAAGGAATGTTTCATTCTGGAACATTGCTATCATTACCATATACTCGTCTTGCTGCGTTGCAGTACTGATGGGAGATCCGCTGAAAAAATACTGTCTCTTAATAGTGGGAATATAGTATTGTGAAAGAGTGGGAGCCATCTCGGGTTGCAAAATCTTTTTCATTGTCAAATATTGAAGTATCTTGTCTGGAGTCGAATAGCCGCAATTTAAAAATGCTACGGATAATAAACTGCTACGGATATATAATTAATATAATAAGATATTGAAAGACAAATTGTGACAATTGTGAAGTTTTTAATGTAAAATCGGCGAAAGTATATTAATGTACAAACAATTTTTGGGGGTGCAATATTTACGTACAAAACACACACAAAAACAACTTAAATTCGTTCTTAGAATACTAGCGTAGAAGCATTGTATTCATTAACTATTTTCCGTTATCAAGAGCTCTGGACAACTTCATGGCGCAATATCAGTTCCGTTCTTTACAGATGAGATACTACTTCACAATGTTAAACGTTCCTACCAAAGTTACTCTATTTAAATTTCAAAACTATCATCATCCTCACTTACTAGTAAACAGGATATATTGAATAAGCCAAAGATTTATCCATGGTTGACGCGAATGAACACGTAAATGAGATATCAAACGGAGCAACTCTTGTGATTACGGCTGATGATTCTGGCCCGGTGTTTCGTATGGTTTGAGTATATACCAAGTCCGTATTCTCAAGCTGGAATATTTCATCAAATTATTAAACTTGGAGTTTTAATCATAAGGTGAAATACGATTTCTTGGCTAGTCCAGTTCTCAGTTTAGGCCGGGCGTACGACTACCAAATACTCATGAAGTCGTCTCCGATGACTGGACAGGAATTTTATATGAAACTGTGGCCATTTATTGGTCACGTGCAGCATTTTTCGCAACATCAGATATCTTTTCAATGATTCCAAGCTGCGAAGCATAAATAATAATTGTTATGCGATGACCCATTACCACGCATATGATGCGTAACCCGATTTCGGTGAAAGATATAAAATTTGGGTACAGGTGAAAATAGAATAGTGACAAATTATCGGTTCAAAATTATTGTAAATCAACGTTCATGGTGTGTTTTTATGCGCGCACACACACACACTTTTATGATACGATTAAAAATTCTTCCTCGTGTAGAATATTCTACAAATACTTTACTCACTGTAACCGTTGGTGAACATAACGACATATTGAACTGAAATAATATGATATTATTTCCTTCATCAATTCCCATGCAAGAACTATCAACTACGTCTGAAGAGTACAATGTAGTCACCGTAGCGTTTCCAGCAGCCAAGTCTGACAGAGGGGTATACCCCAAAGTTTGTAATGCACACGCATCCATGCTTTATTCAACAACAACAAAATAAGATATTGAAAACCAATAAATGACAAAGTAACATACAAATAGCGAAGAATAGTCAAGGGATTACAATGCCCTCTTGTTTACCTGCTGTTGAATCGGACTATAGGAACGTAGTAAGTATAAAATCATTCTGATACAAAACTTACAGGGATAATATATTTCATAGATATGGTCTGGAATTTCGATGGTTTGCTGGTACATAATTGCGGAAGTGACCTAATCAGATTTCTTAAGTTCCATGAATGTTATGTTATGCAAAAACAATAAAAACCGAGGTATTTTTGATTCTGGTGATTGAACGGGCTCGTTACGTTTATATCAAATCATAAAAACATGTCAACTTCATGAAATATGAGCGATAATACAAAAATACAAATCTATGTCTCGGTTTTATACAATCGTTGATCAGAAAGTTAAAAACAATGAGATGTTGAAAGCGAGTAACGTTGATATTGTAATGTATAAGACAGTTACCAAATATCCCATGAGCACTGATTTTAATTGTACGAGTGCTCAATAATGGAATTATCAAAATGACTAAGTTATAGATAGAACCTATATCAACGAATATTTTAATTTTATAATATTACAAAATATCTAGTATTACCGAACTTCGACGTCGTTGTCATTGCACGTAATACTCAATCCAATATATGATATAATTTCTGCGTCTGTACTTAGAGTCGGCCTTGACGCGCTAGAATCGCAAGTGAAACCTAAATGTGATATGATAAACAAAGGTATGAATATTAACCGAACAACATGTTTGCAGAATGATAAAGTTTATGAGTGATTTTTGAAGAAATTATATCTTTTATAGGATGATCTTAACATGAAAATATCTCATAAAATGCAAACTTTGAAAGTTCAGTTTCTTTGTTTCAACGATTCAATTGTAATCGTATATGCTTCAATCTACCAATTGTTTTGATTTACTAAACGCGAAATAACCGCTTGGGTTGTATATATTTTTAACCGTAACTGTTTGGTATTCTAAAATTTCACTTTTCAATTAACTTCTTTCGTAATACCTCAATTGAATAAATTTTGCATCAAAATCATGATAGATGCCAAATTAGACCCACAAAAATAAAATTAATAGGCCTGAAACTTGAAAAATATATTTTATTCGGTGGCAATAATTTTTAGTTTTGTCTGATTTACACTTTTTCGACCTCTCGAAGTACAAGAACATGCATAGGCCATAGATAATTCGTCATATCCCTCGCTTTTAAAAGTACTTGCTGTATTAGGATTTTTTGGTATTATAAAATTTGAAGGACTCTTCGTCAAGACGCGGATGATGAAAAAAAAATAAGTACGATTACTTCTAATCAGTCAATAAAACGTGTTTCATTATTATTATTAGCTGCTTTCTGTTTGATGCTGGTGTGATTATTGTAACAAATTAATTTCATTGGTAGATGATCATAATTTGTTTTTGATTTTCATTCCACGGGTTTTATGTATGAGTTTATACGTTTTAGTGTTGAGTCAGTCTTTCTTCAGAGGACGACGTTTATACAAGAATTGTAAGGTAACCCGTGATTCACAAGATACATAACAGTCCTCAATTTAAATCAAACAAGTAAGTTAGTCAGCGAGACACTTGTTCAAAATCTTCCGTGACGAAAATTTATTAATGAACAATTGACAAAAAAAAAATTGAACTTACCCGAAGAAACTATCTTTACCAACATCAGTATGATTAAGATGATGTCAAAATCCTTCATTTTATTTCGAATATATCCCATTTCATTTTACCAACACATAATAGGTATTGCACGGGAACCAGCTACGAACATACAACCAGTCATCATGTAAATGCATATTGAGCTTCCGGCGAAAGTAGTTCACGCAGCACATCGACATATGTTAATGCATGATAACGCAAACCTAGTGTATTTCTAGTTCAGATTCACCTCTCACATTCTGTTTTGGTATAACGGGATAATGCACATATAACTGAATACTAAGCGTTGATAAAGTTTCACCGCTAGGTGTGCTATGTTATGCAGCTGTTCTCGGGGCTGAGGTGTCAGAGTTGATTCTCGTGCTTTTGGCTCGTCTTGAAATCGGAATTTTGCTTTCAAATTTTTATTTTACCGATTGCAAATTGAATTTATTGTACACACAGACTTTTAAAAATGAATATTGCATTGGGTGTAATAACGAAAGAGTGTGGAACTTGTTTAAGTTTTTATTCTTTTAACTTGCTTGAGCTGGAAGCTGTATTTCCAAAATAGGCTCATTTTTTGTATGGACATATAAATATACTCGTACAAGAATTAAGTTTTGTTCGACGTGAAATGTAACATTCAAAATACACTATATTCTTGACATCATTTGGAAATGACTTTCTAGGTGAAGGTGCGTGAATTTTAATTACAAGTCCAGCCAACTTCTAATCAATTTTGGTAGCGTATAAGGCTATTCGAATGCGAAACTCCCGGGCAAGGTATGCAACAAGCCAGAGATCGTATTGGTTATCTTCTTTTGTAAGGATAAAATTACTTTCAAATTATAAATATTCAAAAATGGAAATACCTCCCTCAAAGCTATTGCTAATATATTTTTTTAACATAATGTCTGAATTTAATGTGAGAACGCGTGACATGTGTTTAAATTGCGGTAACATCTTCTTGCACACAAGTTTAAACATTTCCCTTCCCCAACTCATCTTTGCGACAAATTTATGAACTATTTTATGGACATATGTTTGATACAATCCGTAGGCTTAGGTTCGAAACGACAAACTTCGAATAAGCATAAAATTATAATCAAAAGAATAAGTATATTGGTACCAAGCCAATGGAAACCGCCTGTTAGGCCTCTCAGTTATTTTGTTCTTGAGGATAAATGCCTGGCTGTCTTCCGAGATTTCATGAAGTAACCTAATTTACTGTACGAATCTTCTATCTAAATGTGGCAAAAGCTGTATTATTTGGAACGAGATTTCAATCATTTTCATTTTATTATTTATGTAAAGCATGAAAGCATGGTTAGTTATTCGCGAGTGGCGACTGGCGATTTACTAAAATTATCGCCTATCTATATTAGGTATAGAGTAGACACGCAGTCTCTCAAAAATTTTTAGAGCTCCAGAAGTATGTGCACCAAGATGGCGCCCGCCTGAACATAGTATGTGTACCAAGTTAGGGGTCAGGTTGTGCGCGATCTTGGTGCACATACTTCGGAAGCGCCAAATTTTATGATGCCCGCCTATGTCAAAAAAATATATGCAGTATGTAGTGAATTTTTATTTTAAATTTTTACTGATTCCAGGTATTTCGATGGAGGCAGCATATTTGCACCCGTAAACTGCATGTACCCAGAAAACTTTTGTACCTGTACTCCATTTGTTCGATAGGGTTGTGACGTGTCATACATATACTGCCAATAATCTGCATATACCACCAACTCATATACATATAAGGCTAACCAAATCTACATATACTGCCAAGCCATATGCATATATAGACAACTCAATCTACAGATACAGCCATTAAGTTGATATACTGCCAGATCATTTCATAAGAATACAATTTATGTATACGGTATGCGGTTGCATCTACGAATTATATGCCAATTACGGGTCGTTCATATAAATAGCGCTTTAAAGTGCTTAAAAAAACTTCAAAGCGGCTATCAATACGGTATTAGCATACAGGGGTAAGGACTTACTTATATGTTGATTGCGCACAAAAAGACATAACCCTCCCAGTGTTCGTAGTACATGATAACTATACAATAGGTACCAATCTATAATCCCCCACAACAGCTGGTCGTTGATAACACGAGAAATGTGATGGCTGAAAATCTCTATCAGTGAACTATTCTTTGGCTACTGACATTAAATTGTCCACAAACTAATCAAATTAACGCTTGATGGAAAATATAAAACATAAAACTGCCGGATAGCGTAGTTCTTGATAAATGTCCATTATGCGCCAATCTATGATGTCAAAGTACCCCACAACAGCTGGTCGTTGATAATACTAAAAATGTGCTAGCTGAAAATCTCTTTTTAGAAAACTAGTCTTTGGCTTATTGGCAATAAACTGTCCACAAAATAACTAAATTAACGCTTGGTGGAAAATATAAAACATGAAACTGCCGGGGAACGTAGTTTTTGATAAATGTCCAATAGGTGCCAATCTATGGTGTCGTCGTTGAAAGCAACACATTCCACATGATATTACAATCAGCTCTTGTGGGGCTTTATCTTATGGCATATTGTAAGTGACTTCCATCAAAAGTCGTTTAGAAGTTTCTGGGATTTATTTTTAAAACCCTAACCCTAACGCACTCATTATATTAATATGTTATGACTTTCAAGTCTGCGACATGTAGATGCAACCGCAACGGTAGATAATATACAGTAGGTGCATGTATATGAAATGGATTGGCGGTGTTCATACATCCTTTAAATAGCTGTATAGGTATATTGAGTTGATTATAAAACATATGACATTGGTTGAATATGTACATTGCAAGATGGTAGTATATGGTCATATATGCATATATGACATTGTATGACATCGCTTTAAATGCCTTCACAAGTATACATATAGTTGACCATACATACATATGACAGTGGCTGATTGTGTACATTACTTGAGTGGCTGTATAAGTTTATTGCGTAGTCCATTGGCTGTGTATGTACATTACTCAATTGGCCGTATATGTATATTAATTTGACTGTATATGCATATGATATTGGCTGCGTATGTACATCACTGAAATGGCTGTATTTGTATATTAATTTGCTGTATAGGTATATGACATTGGCTGTGTATGCATATTTAATTAGCAATATATGTATATTTTTGGCTGTATATGTATATCACGTTACTAACCCCACTACATTTGTTTGGATGATCGATCCCCATTCATTTGATGTTTTGAAGGAATGAGGAATTGTAGAACAATAGAAATAAACAGAATGTCTCTTCGAAGTTCTAAAATCATCTTATGCAAAGAGAGCAAAAATATTAGTACAGTAATTACTCTCACATGATTATGTATTGCCTAAATATTGTATTGCTTACTCAGGTATATTAAAATTTGAAAAGGTTTGGAATGAGAATGCTCCCACTGAGACATTCCTGAACATTCAATCACAATAAATTTCAGTCCCTAAAATTTATAGAAACACGTTAAACTCTGCAATAATACAGAAAAAGAGCTAAAACCCGACTTGATCTGTCATATTGATACAGGTTAGATGCTGCTAAATACAAACATAGAAACCGAAATCCTTCTATTATACAAAAATTTCTCTTTCGTGCAATATATAAATAACGTGGTAAGAAGTGGACACATTTCTATGGATCAGGACGACACCTCCGGATCCAGGCCTGCCTGTGCCTTCATGCCCAGACTTGTCGACGGAAGTTTTATGTTTCATTCTCCCTGTGAAAAGAGATAACCTATAACCACTTATTATGGTAAACTTGTTTAGATATAAGACTATCAGTTCAGAATTGAGAGAAAAACAGCGATCGAAACGTCCCGCCTGGAGATGGCTTCGCAAAAAATGAAGAATTCGCCTCGACTTATGGCGGATAGAAAAAAAAGATAGCGTCTCAACCGATTCAAATAATTAAATTTACCATTCAAGTCCAAATGATCAGCCTTGCTGATGATCGTTCATGCATAACAGTAGATTGCTAAAAGAATTTTGAAATATAGAATATCCTTAATTTAAGATAGACTCGAATGTTTTATTTGTTTAGGACATTTATTAGAGATGTTCACCAGATTATCGACGACAACTGTGATTGACAAAGGAAATATCACAGAATATGTAACCCCACCCTCTTCTGTCTACTTTAAATTCTGTTTCTTCTTTCGGAAATTGCTTCCAAAGATTTCTCATTCTTGCTGACTTGATCAGGGGTGGATTCTTGCAAAAACACATAGACCATAAAAAATCTAGCTTTTGCACTTGATTCAAAAATTGCATTAACACTTACGAGAATAAAAGTTTCAAATAATAAGAGAAATTTAGAATAACTATTTACTATATACTTTGAATGTTGACCAGTATTGAAAACTAAATGAAAATTGAATTGTAGAAATATGATATACGAACAATTCATGTGAATCTATCCCATTGATAGCTCTCAGACGTTTGTAAGTTAAAAAAAAACACAAAACAATTTAACAAAAGTAATAGGTCCATGTATTTCACTGTTGCGTTTGGTCAAGATGTATTTAAGAGAGTGAGGTTAAATCTGAGGACAACTTGACTAAGCAGGATGATTGATAGACCACCCGGTATCCAAAAATACGCTTCAAATACGTCAAAACATGCCTAAAACTAGTAAGCTAAAAAAAAGAAAATATATTTTCCCACTGAAAACGTAAAAATTGTTCGAAAATTGTATAATATTTGCATCACATGTAATTGATATATACATAAACGTAAAAAATTTGCAAACAAATATATAAAAGAGTACAAATATGTCTAGTACTATATTTTAAATTGCACAGAAATTTGCCGGACTGTTCCTTATATTTTACTTTGTACAATCTGTAAAAAAAAAAACATGTGAAATCCAGTAGGCTATATATTCAGTGTTTAATATAAAGGTCGTGACGTTGATATTTCAAAAATTCTTAGTTCCTGTAATAAGTCATCATGAAGCTAAAATCCTTCCTGTGCCTGGTATTAAATTAGTGATTAAAAGATAGATTCACCTTAAGTTGCTTCAAATTATATCAGTCTTCGCTTTTTCATTACTTCGTTGTCGAGAAAAACTGCTAAGCAACCGATTCTGCATCTTGAAAGCAATAAAGACATTCTCTCCTCATCCGTTTGAGTCCTGGAGAATTATCATTCAGTATCACTATACAAATCACAGATTCAGCAACTTGAGTCGATGAATTCAGTCATCGCCAGTA